GAAACAAACTCCATCTGGTAAAGGAAGTGTCATAGATCGGAAGTGGTCTCGATGAGTATTTGAAGGGTATTTCGTCTTAATGTGAGGAATGACTCTGTCCAAGAGTTATAGAATTCATGTAAATAATAAGTTTTGCTATAACTGGACAATATTCTAGTTAATCCAAACGGTGACGTAAATGAAGTAGATGGGAAGAAAGAAGAGACGCCTGCAAACAGAGCGGGTTTCAAACAACTGTGTCATGTGGTTGCTTCGTATTTCCTTCTCTTAAAGCCTTTCCGCTGCAACTGGTAGCCCTTCTACGTATTTTCGCTTATCAGCTCTAATGCCACTCTTCATTCTTTTATTTACTTGTGTGTATTCCGTCTTTACCTTGACTTTCTTTGTTATCGTTCGGCTGTTGTTATTCGCTGTTTTGTTGTTCTTCCTACCTTAAACCTTGTCCAGGGTCTCCACAGATATCCACTCCTTTAGATGATGCTTCTTGTGATTAGCACTTCTTGACACGTTGAAGTTAGTGCTCCACTGATCACTTTTCAACTGTTCTTCAGAGTATTTTCCCTTTCTCTATGTAGATCATGTAATGCTAGGAACCTTTTGATGAGAGTTATCTTGAATTCGTTGAGTTTTTCAGTATCTCAAAGGAAGGCTGAATGGAACATTTATAACGCTTTTTCTCCAGTTGTCCAATGCTTCTTTATCTTGACAACCAACAGGTGGTAACCTGATGTTATGTTAGATTCTCTCCCAATCCCCATGTCTTCTATTGCCCTTCCAAAAATGTTAGTGATGCAACTATGATCTACCTGGTTCTCCCTGGTGTGATCCGGTGATACCCATGTAACGTTGTGTATACGTTTGCGGAGAAAATATAGTGCCACTACGTACACCTAACGACATAAATCTGCCTACTTAACGCAATCTAGTATCAATATAATAATGGAAGTATCACGATCAATTACAAAGATAAGTAGCACATTGCTAGGTTTGAAGCTATTACGAGTTCACTTAGTATGCGAACGGAGTAAAGACTTGTGACCGAAGACCAATAAGCTAGCTACTTGATGCGTCCCAGCCCCGCTAACTGGAGGAAGAAGTTAAAGCTTGAAAAGGGAATGTATATTCCGTAAGCCAGAAGCACGAGTGAATAATAACAGATACAAATCAAACGTATATGTACAGCATAAAACTGTCTTCGGGGAGCGTTTCAAAAATAGCATACTAAAAATACACAACGGCACAACTGTTACGGGAGAACTGAAGACATTTGGCGGATTGAAACCTTTTATTGTACATTAATAATTTACTGTGTTTTTGGATGTAATTGTTTTACTTAACTTTTGAACTTGTTTGTTTATATCATTATTTCGGACGTTTTGGTTTGTCTTCGGTTTGGTATTTTGGTGATCTCTTCGTCTTTGGTTTGGTATTTGGGAGTTTTGCTCCGGGAACCTACAAAATTGAAGGCTTGTTTTGTAATTGTTATAATTATTGTTGTTAGAACGAGATTTGGTCGACTATTTGTGAATTGCGAATAAATTTGTTATCTAAATTGGAGTTTGGTTCTATTGTTAATTTGTGTTCGTAATTTTCAAGTAGATCGATAGTCCGTACTTCAATAACTGGAACGAGCAAAACTTGGACGCAACACCAATAGCGTTAAAGATGCTCTCAAATGAGAAATACGACATGAAGTTGGAAAGAGCTCTTTTGGCGCAAAAACAAGGGATTTTAAATTTCCAAAGTAAAATTATAAAATTAAGACATTTACCAAGTAAGTTCTGGGGATCTAGCACCCCCAACACACATGTCTAACCAACAGTGGCAAAAATTAAGTTCAAGGAATCAGCGAAGGGTCAGTAAAATTTATATGAAAGACTGAGTCAACCTCATGTCTGACATTCAAGCAGTTATGACGATAGTGATAGCTCGTCTGAAATTAGATAGGTCTCAGTTAGTGAATGGTTAATTTAAATATTATTGACTGATTCGCCAATACGCACGATTATTTTATTCGCCTTCAAAGGACTAGTCAAATTCACTCATGAATTACTGAGCACTAATGCTTCAGACACACCACGTACATAATTGACAGATAATTCCCATTCAAACATTGAAAACACAGTGTTCAGCGAAAGGGTCTCTTTTCGATGAATTTATTATATATATCGTATACATATACATATATATAAATAAACATCAAATCATATATATATATATATATATATTCGAACATTTTTTAAGTCAAGTACTTGTTCCGTGAGGAAATGTGGAAAAGGAATAACCAAGATGATGTGATAGAAGGCTCACAATACTTTATTACGTAATACGGATGATAACAATAGAAGTAATGAGTTAGTGAATAATTATAACGTGAATGTAGCAAAGTGATTAAAATTCCTTTGTTACAATAATTAGGGGTCATACAGGTGTAAAAAAAAGAAAGTCATGTAATCAGCAATTATGAAAGAAATAATGAGAATATAGTATATAAGTAAGGAGAGAAATGCAATAATAATAATAACAGTAATATTAACAATACCAAGGTCCAAGGTAACGACAAAAATAGGACGTATATGTTTTTTACGCATAGTTCCGTCTTGAGCTCATTGATGGTAAGAGCTTCGGCTATTTTTAGGAGTTAGACGAATAAGATATACAGCTTTAAAATCAAACTACGGATCAGTATAATGTTTACTTTCAATTATATGTTCAAGTACGGAACTTCTAACTGCTCTCTTGCCACCCATGTCGAACTACAGTGGATCATGTTTCCGTGTCCGAGGTGAAAGCGAGCGTCGGTTACCGCCAATATACCTTGCTCTACAAGAGCAGGTGAACTGGTAGACACACATGGAAATGACCAGACAGGAAGGTCATCGTCTATGGATACGGAAAACAAGTTCCTACTAGTGAACGTTATTCGCAGTTTTGCCGTATGGAATGTCCTTATCATTGCTGTCGTTAAACGATTTTTGATCACATCAGAAGTTCGATCACCCTGAAATCCAAAACTTTTGTAAAGGATTTTCTTTGGAAAGGAACAACTGGATCCCTTGTCACAACTACTTCTTTTAATATCCCCATCTATGAAACGGTTCGGATGATTATTTTTCATCAGGGTTTTCCTGAGGATTGCAAGTTATTAGTCAATGAATTCCGTACTACATATCCGGTGTATTCATTAACATAAAGAGTGATTAAGATTTCTCTTTCTGTCTAAAAGAACACATCAATAAATGTTGGTCAGCTGGTCATTCCATGGAAGACATATTTGTTATTTGTAACGATAATATTGAATTAAAAGGCATTTTACACTCGATTAACACATGACACCCATAGACTACACGATCCAATGTGTGTGACCAGTCATTCTATTTTATCTGTGTACGTTTGATAAGAAAGTGTAACGCTCCCTTAAAAAATCCATGTTTAGGGAACAAAGATGCAAGTTTTGCACCATAATTCCAATTTAAATAAAGTATTTCAGGTTTACAAGCGATCCGTATGTCGAATGCCGCTCTGGCTGAAGTTTGATAGTCCACACTTTCTAGAGGAATCGCATCTCATCATTGCCCAGTGTGGTCAACCATAACCAAAATGTAATCATTTCCCAGGTTGGCTCCCGTAATGGCCTAATAATATCAATCCACGCTATCTCCTGAGTCCTAAGCAAATATATCACAAAACCTTTTTAACTTTCGGCATAACATTGCCCCATACTCCGAGATGACAGTTCACAAATAAAGGTGAAGTATCATCCGTCTCTATTGGATTAGCATTAATCGATATTTGGAGTCTAGATACTGTGTCTAAAATACAAAAACCCACAGAAGCTAATTGACTGTAATTAGTGAAATTGAATGACTAACCTACCACTTCTGGACATTACAAAACGCTTGGAATCGCACCGAAACATTAAGAGGAGAGTGCAAAGATATTAATTAGTTTATCCAAGCTCGTAACTAATACTTGTAGTGTCAGTTATTATGCCAAGCCCATATACCTTATTCGAGCTTTCGGACATCCCATTCTATTCATTTTACTTGAGCCATACATTGACCTTGTTATTTATTCGCTTATCAATCTAGACTGTTTTTATATGAGCGTATATGTGTGTGCCCTTCTTATTCCATTAATCACATGTCTGTATCTTTATTTTGTCTGACTATAAATATTGAGTAGCGTTTGACTAAAAGGGAGTTGGCTTCCCAGCCATCTTCCCTGTGCGTCATTTTGCTTGGCTCTGTTCCATTCACTTCATATACAAAATATATGTATTCAAATGCCATTCTCGTTAATTGACTTATTTAATTCCGTTATGGACTAACGCGATCTAAGTCGACGATGATATACGAGAATAGGTGATAAAAATCATCCATACGCTCTAAATGGAGTCAGATTCACGAGCCACAACATACTTTGGATATTGGATACTGGACATCTCATTGAGGTTGTTTCTATAGGAACGCCTTAGGTAATTCTAAGTGGTGATTTGATTATTCAGTTTACCACATTCAAAACATAATCATAACTATTTTGTGTTTTGACTGTCGAATTTTCATCCTCTTACGTTTATGTTTTTGAGTTCACACGGAAACAGTCGTAAGAAAGTCTATAGAAGTCATCTAGTATATAATAACTCGCCTAGAATTTTAGACGATGCAATAACTAATTAGAATTTTTTAGTTGCTTTCCATAATAATGTAGGTGTAGTGTGTTCTTAATAAGTTGTCGATCACTTTAATCACGAATGGCTTTTCATATCCCATCACACTATTCCTTGAGGCTAGACCCAACCTTACCAAGCTCTGAATATTCCACAGGTGTATTCTTGCTCTGTTGGCCTATGGTCACAATTATCTGATTCTCTTGTTCTCAGCCCTGTCCTGTTATCGAGTTTTGTCATTCTAATCTCAACTTATTTGTTTCTAGACTTTTTCGGGTCAATTTTCCAATTGTTATGCTATATTTCCCTCTTAATTCACACTAACGACTTTCAGGTTGAACACGAATTTACCATAGACCCAACGTAACACAGAAGACAGAGTAACTACCTCCCACACAGAACCTGAATTCTTACAACCATTTGTTCACTTAAGTGATTTATCCAATGCATTCTATGACTTGCCAGGATTGTCCTAGGAAGTTAGAGGTCGAACACTACGTTAAAGAGCATAAGATTGATGAAATGCTTCAGAATTTGACCTCTTCGTTGTTCTACAAAATGCCAGGTAAGCATTTCTACTACCCGTTCTATTCGTTAAATATCCACTACTATATATATATATATATATATATATATAGTCACTTAGATCCTCCACAGGAACGGATGCACTTGTGTGTCAAATGGTTTTATCGCTTCTCATATTTGAATTTGTAGCCTTATGTCAATAGGAAGTAAGCAATGACTCACTTAGTATAAACTCAGTGTTAAATTGATGTTTATAACTTACATAAACGTCGAACGTTTAGACATAATATCGCACTAGTTTTCCGTTAATTTATTAGTGTTCACTGAAATTTCACAATGTCACTCACTTTTATAAATTATACTGTTATAATGCTAAATGCCAAGTACATTTGCACTCCTTATTTTGTTCGGTTATTGTGATTTTTTCAGCAGGTTAGTCTTGAATGAGTTAATGTGATGGTTAGGAGTATTCGAATTATAGTACGATTTAAGAATCCCATAAATAACGCAAGTGGATCAAGAAGTACTCGATAGGCGCGAACGAATGTACTGTATTTGGAATTCGGAATCAAACATTTAACAAGTATAAAGGAATCATTATTTCATTCAAACATCACATCCGCCACAGCTCAAATTGGAGTCTATGTGTTTGTAAATGATTATACGTTTCCTTCTCAAGTTTATCCTGTGTCTGATCGACAGTTTATTGGATAAAGACTCTGTATTATCTAGAATGCACTCATCAGTATTAGAATTAACAACCAAAATCGGAACAGACTCACCTGCTTCCTGGGATTATGTACAATCACAATGTCGGTTGAGTACTGAAACTACTGATACCTAGAATTTTTACCATAGACATTCAGACTATCCTCTCCCACGAAATAATGTCGGGTCTTCATATCCCCAAGTTATTAATAATGTGTCTTCATTCAAAACATATTTTTCACATTGACTAGAGTATACATTGAAAGCGACTTTATGATAAGGATAAACGACAGTTGATATGAAATCATCTGAATTGTAATCAGAATCGAGCTCATTTAACACTCGTGCTACGCATTGAACAAGTTTCCCACAAGAAATTAAGACACTGAGAGGATAAATACTATTTGCTATGACATCAATATTTGATTCTTCCGAAATAGTTTCCTCAGATTTATTAAGTGTCGTCTCAGAGCAAAGGATCGTTAGAAAAATTTGCATCTATGAAAACTACATCAGGTTTTCGATTATAATTATGTTCACTCAACATATTTTCTTCAGATTTGTAAGAAACTTCATCAGAAATATGTAGATCATCGGCAAAAACCATATTTAGTACAATAATATGAGAAATCTAACAAATCGATTGATTAGAAACTGTTATCTTGCAAAGATTATGAGTTTCACTTAACGCTGAACTGCTATATGACTTTACACTGTCTTTTGAAATCGGTGATAAGGATAAATGATCATTAGGAACACTGGAATTAATAGAATTAAAATTACAAGACTTAATATTCGCTGCAGCAAGATGAACAGTAGTGTTACAAACTGATTGAATATGTCCAATATCACCACATTTAAGGCACTTAGAATTACGAAATTTACATGAATTAAGAGAGTGGAACCTGCCACAAGACAAACATTGACCAAACTTATGCCCAGCTTCGTGAGCCGCATTGCAACTCCTCAATAAATTATTTGCATAACCTTGAGTGTGCACTGGGTTGGGATGACGTAATGTAGTGGAATTTTTTGTATCCTCATGAATCATTTTACGAAATCTTCCATTACCGCATTCGAAATTTGCATACTTAGCATAGTCTAGCGGTAGTTCCTTGAGAGCTGCATAAGGAAGCAAAATGGGCTTTTCCGGCATAGCCAGAGTTTTTAATAAGCTATATGATTCTTTTCCGCTGAATGTGAGGAAATGTACTACAATATTAACATCCTCATCATCTTCCTTTGTCATAGCCCAGATTTTGAATCTTTCAAAGTACTCCTCAAAAGCATCAAAATCTGAATGTATATCCAACAACTCCATCACAGACTCCATTGCGACCCCAATATGGTCATAAGAAATATTTGAATTATAGTATAAACTAAGAATCCCATAAATAACGCAAGTGGATCAAGAAGTACTCGATAAGCACGAACGAATGTACTGTATTTGGAATTCGAAACCACGCATCTAACAAGTACAAAGGAATTATTATTTCATTCAAACACCACAGCAAATGGGAACTGTTTACCTTCTGCAATATTGCTCTTTATTATTAAACAGTGGCTGATATTTATCATTCGTTTCCTCTTTTTACTTATAAGGAGATCCGAAAATGTTTTAAGATTATCGATTAAAACTTTATATAACCATTTACTGTAGTAAAATTTAAATCTTTCTATTAACTGCATGTGACCACAGTACCTAAAAAACAACTCTGTCTCGTTTCCCAAACTTTATAAAAAGTTGCCAGTTAATCTGCCTCAAATAAATTAATTATCAATTTAAGGTCGAAATTAGCTTTCCGGCTTTTGAATCTCACTATGAGATTTCAAAATTTAATCTGACTATTAAAATATATTACCTTTAAAGTACATTCGTTTCACTTCATTAACAGTGAAGTTTGAAGTATTCCGCTGTTAATATGAACCAAACTTTAGCTTGTCTTCTGACTAAAATAAGAACAACTAATGTAGTAGAATAACATGGTTTCATTATATCTCAATGTTTCTGATCAGCTGCTTACAATGTAAACATAGTTGTATTAATCTTTAAAAGTCAGTGTACATACATCATATTATAATGCCGAAAGAGTTTTCATCAATAAAAGTCATTGAAAGGAACAATAAGTAAGAAGGAACGATCAGAGATGTTCATGTGATAATGTGAACATTTATAAGTTGAATATAAAAATATTCTAGAGTAAGCAACTAAGAACGCAGAGATAGAAGTACTTGGAAATTATATATGAATATTAAAGTCAGATAACTTTTAAAAATTAACTAGCTGGGAATACATTAGATAAAAAGTATGAGTTAATAATTAGATTCATAAAATGAAGGATTGCGTAACAAACATTTATAAATAAGTTTACCAAGGCAAGATTGACAACTACATCTTTCTAAATGCCTAAATTTGGTTTAAGTCTTTTGATGACAAATGCTTCAGTAGATCGCAATAAATTTGACATTCTTTATTCATTAATCATCTTGAAGAACTTTGAAGCATCAACACCATGGCCAGTATCAAGGGGAGGGCGCGCGATTGCATTACTGAAAACGTATTTTCATCTCAGTCTAACCTTTTATGGAATGTGCCATGCAATGTCCTCTTTTCTGTTTTTCTGATGTATGTTCTTTGACACGTACATGTAAACTGGTAAATGCAATTAGAAACGATACAAGGTAGGAATTCGTTCACACATGACTGTCTTAGTGAGTAATTTGCTGGATACAGAAGGACCGGTTTGGCGGCTGGAAAAGTCATCTTTATTGTAATTTTTAACCTAAATTCCGTTTTTTTCAATTGCCTTATCACCCTTGAAGCCAAGTCTTAGAAATTAAGGCTTTCTGCCAAATACAGTATATTCCATTTCTTTCATTTAGTCTTCCCGTACTTGTTTGGGAATTTCTGAGGGGAATCATTATTATGTAAACAAAGTTCGGGTATAGTTAGTTCCTCATCAACTTTATCTTCCGAAAATAATCTTCTGGTACGATTGAACAGCTTTCTAAACAAAGCTATAGTCAGATTGATGTAGTGGATACGGGTAGCCCACCGAGCCCAATCCTGACAGATATCTTCATGGTAAACCTAGAACAGACAGTGATGAAATCGATAAACAATGATACAACGTTGTACGTTGGATATGTTGATGACGAATTAGTGGCCATTAACGTTTATCAACATGCTTCTCATATGCTGGAACTCTTCGTAAATTTTTATTGACGATAACTCTTCCGACATTATGATGTGTAGTATATACCCTGACTTTTGAGTATTAATACTACCATGTTTAAGTTTTATGCAGCTGATCACAAACTGTGAAATGTAGTGAAATCATGTTATCCTGTTACATTAGTTCTTCCTTTATTCAACTTTATGAATGGGAAGAAATAGTCTGTATTTATTGGTATAATTAGATCCTGTGAGCATTGAATAGGTATAAAATAGGTGGATTATGGCTAGCATCAGAATCAATGATGCGCATTCGGTACGACCTGAAACTTATCAGTGAGATTTACCTACATTCGTTTTGGTTTTTATATCGGTATCTGAGCTAAGTACTGTGTGCCTCAAATGACTGAATCCGAGTAACCGATGGCTTGTGCAGAGTATGATTCTTGTCATACTATTGGTAAGTCAAACTTTTGTCCTCAGCATCAACAAAAAGACAATACGATCTCATTCTAATAATGATATAAATATCATACCCGTTGCACAAGTGATTGGATATCTAAACTCAGTACCTCATTGAATAATGTGCTGGCGTTCAGATTGAAAGTCACTAGGTTATATTGGCAGTGCAAACTTAAACACATATGTACCTTTATCCAGTTAAAAAGTTCCATGTAGAATAAATCGTTTGTCTCGAATTCCACTTCAAACCACACTTCATCTAATCTATAAGACATTGTAAGGAAGTTATATTTTACTGGATCAGTCCTGATTAGGAATTCAAACTATGCTGTATTCAATTAGTTAAATAATAGTAATGTGTAGAGAATTAAGAGTTTGTGAATGATTTGTCTGGATAGTGCTTTTTTCAAACATATACTGTATTCAATTTTGAATCATATCTATCACTTATATCAAGCGATATTGTCCTCATCCATATCTTTGAGGATCTATATGGTTTTGATAAAGATTTACTACCAGTGTAATCCTATGGAGCCGGTAAGGTTTATAAAAGTAGCATATCTACCGTATTAAAACACCAAGTCACGCTGACCAAATTAGAAAGAACAGATGACGAAGCAAGCACAAAATTCCTTTTTAGTTACCATCCCTTATTATTCTGTACTGTCTATGAGATTGTACAAATAAAGCACAGTTATAACTATTAATAGTAGAATAATAATATATTTATCACACTCCAATAAAAAAATTTAGATTTCTGACGTTTTCCATCTCTGTTCAAGTAGCTTCTTCAAAATAAGTAAGTAACCGGATTAAATTAATAGATGTTTAAACAGCATAGAATAGTACTTTACTTACTTTTTTACTTACTTACTTACTTACTTACTTACTTACTTACTTACTTACTTACTTACTTACTTACTTACTTACTTACTTACTTACTTACTTACTTACTTACTTACTTACTTACTTACTTACTTACTTACTTACTTACTTACTTACTTACTTACTTACTTACTTACTTACTTACTTACTTACTTACTTACTTACTTACTTACTTACTTACTTACTTACTTACTTACTTACTTACTTACTTACTTACTTACTTACTTACTTACTTACTTACTTACTTACTTACTTACTTACTTACTTACTTACTTACTTACTTACTTACTTACTTACTTACTTACTTACTTACTTACTTACTTACTTACTTACTTACTTACTTACTTACTTACTTACTTACTTACTTACTTACTTACTTACTTACTTACTTACTTACTTACTTACTTACTTACTTACTTACTTACTTACTTACTTACTTACTTACTTACTTACTTACTTACTTACTTACTTACTTACTTACTTACTTACTTACTTACTTACTTACTTACTTACTTACTTACTTACTTACTTACTTACTTACTTACTTACTTACTTACTTACTTACTTACTTACTTACTTACTTACTTACTTACTTACTTACTTACTTACGTCTGTTACCCCTAATGGAGCTTAGGCTGAAGACCAGCACTCTCCAACTCACTCTGTTCTGTGCCTTCTATTCTTGGATGATTTATAAAAATTAACCCGAAAAACGCTAACCAGTATAGAGTAGTAGTAAATAATATGTAGTTCAATCAAAATTAAAATAGATCTGACTATCAATTTCTCTTCATTTTCATCAAGATGATTCTGTATCGAACATCATTGTGTGTAATTATGTGTATAGATTGAGTTCATTTACAAATTTACTTACTTACACTCGTTACTCCTCATGAAGGAGCATAAGCCGCCTACCGGTCTGGTTAGCGACTTTTTAGCGAGTTAGTTTTCTACAGGATGGGATAACTAACTCTATGTCCAACCTTCCCATTCTACTCGGGCTTGGGACTGACAGTAACTCTAGAAGAGCTACAACTTTTCTCCTCATGGAGAAGCATACGTAGCTCACCAGTACTCTCCACCCAACTCTGTCCTGGTCAATCCTTCCCATCTCTTTCCATTAGTTATTCATCCGTTTAATCTTTAAATATGGTCTCATAATGTAAAGTTATTTCTAATCAATAATTTATTATTATTTTAGAAAATCCAAAACAATATTTAATTGAACAATTACGTTTATTAAAAGCTTCACGTGATGAATATGCAGAACCTCCAACATTATTTACTGAAACTAATGCTGAAACAATATTTAATATGCTTGATCCATGTGAAAAGAACTCAATCCCTTCTGATCGATATCAGCATGCATTAGAAACATTAGGAGTACTTCAATATGGTAAAGTTATAGACAATAAGGATGAGGACATAAGTAAAGATGTATATATGAATGTTGTGTAAGTACCTGTGTTTTCTAATTGATTTCAACTTCTTAGTAAAACAGGTTTAAAACAAATGGCATCAACTTATAAACCATTTAAATAAGTTATGGAAAACAAAAAAAAGTGGTACCAAACAAGATTCATATGCAAATTGTTATTGTATAACAATGAATTAGCCATGTGTAATGTATAAATCAAATAAAAAGATTGATATGAATCAAACTTTTCCTAATTGATAAATCATTGCTCATATATCAGTTTTCTAAATAAATTCACTTGGTATTGTTTGACTTGTATCTTCTCATTGAGGTTTAAGATGCAGGTACATCCAGCTGACGAGTCCCAAATAGGACGAAACGTGCGTCCTGAATTCCACTGCTAGCCACTATCCATCATTGCTTATAAAAATTCAAAACAATTTTGACTAACTATGGTTGTAAAAAAGTTTATCTTACTTCAAGAATAAGTAATAGGTATTTAAACAAAGATCGATAGTGGCTAGCAATGGAATTCAGGACACGCGTTTCATCCTATTCGGAGGTCATCAGATGGATGTGCCTGCATCTCATAGTTTTTCATCGTGGGTATCAAACCCAGTAACATTCGCTTTAAATGCCATCGCGTTATTCACGTAACTACTGATTACTTACATCCATCTGTTTGTGCAATGGGGCGAAGTTTAAATTCACTTGATGTTGTTTTATTTATATCCTCCCATTGATATTTAGGACTGCAATTGATCAGTCTCATGTTGACATATGTGCGTCCTGTGTGGATTGAAGCGAACGGTACTGGGTTCGAGTCCCGGAGCGGACATCAACTCTAGGATGCTGTAGAATCCAGCTGACGAGTTCCAACTAGGACAAACTTGAGTCCACTGCTAAATACTGTCCATCTTTGCTTAAAAAGCTTTTGACTTCAGGCTATATCGAGGCGATCCGCACAGGATGCACATATGCTAATATGAGACTGATCAACTGCAGTCTTAAATAACAATCGGAAGGTACAAGTAAAACAACACCTAGTGAATTTGAGTAATAGGTATGTTCTATGTAGAGGGAAGTAACACAGTTAAAAGCTAATCAACAAATTAGAAGTTTATGTAAACGTTAACTATCATCGACTTGGTTGTTCGAATATCAGTGATTTATTGATTAGTATGATCAAATAGAAATAACAGATGTGTGAAATAATCAGTCAGTCAGTCAAAACGTAGAACTTCGTACTTACGTACGTACATCAGTTCGAGTTGCCATACCACATTAGCACACAGATATAATTGTTAATTCAAATTCCGTAGTGGTAGAGGTAGTAAAAGTATAAGCAGTAATCGGAAACATTAGAGTTTGAAGTTGTTATTCAAGGAGTATAGTCCAGTGAAATAGATTTGGAAAGAGAAAAAAAGGGACATAAATAATTTAGAAGATTAAAATTTGGTAGAACACAAAAAGTGGATGCACCTGCACCATTGCAAAAGATTTTGAGCCATGTCATTCAAGGTCTCTAACTATCGGTTCCTATGATCTCGCGGATTCTAGCCAGGTAGTCTTCACCTACTAACATGGCTCAGTCCAGTTTTCAGTGACGGTGTGAAATACGATGACAATTTGTGTTGTGATATGTTGTAGGATAACTATGGTGATAATCATAAATGACTTATCAGTCAATTAGGTAGCACTACCTTGTTATAAAACGACTAACGATTAAAAGCAACAAAATTATGGTAGAATAGTGGTTTTGATATGGTTAATCATCCTTTACGTAATAACTTATCATGGTAAAAGAATAAGATCCAGTTTACTTTATTAGGAGTTAAACTAAACTTGTTATTAAGGATTATAATCCTATAGGGTTTTCACCATTAACTAACATCAACTATGATGCAATGATGTTATATCATCCTTTTGTTTACAAACTTAAGAAACTTTAGGTTGAGAGCTATATTCAGATGTTAGAGTAAGAGAATATCATATAGAGCTACACAAATATCTTTGACTATGCAATAAATGAAATTGAGTACTCTACTATACAATATGCATCAGAAGTAGGTATTTGTTGTGATATAACTTGAGCATACTGTCATATTTATTGTTTGATTACATAATAGATGTTTTTATTGATTTCAAGTATTTTAGAAATCATACATGCTATCTAGCACTACCTTTTAATTTAAAGCAAACATATACGAGGCGCTAACTTAATTTTGATTGCTTCATTCAGGTCTATCAGTATGGTATATCAAAATAGCAAAGAATATTATCCTGTGCTTTGACTTAGATTAGTTAATGAACAATGTAGACGTTAAGTCTATCGAATCATCCAAGTCATCCAATTGAGATACGCGCAAAATCGAAGTTCGCAGAACAACGATTTGTTTGAAATAACGGTCCTTTATTGAATAATATACAAAATTTAGTTACAAACCACAACTTGTGAGGTGTCTGTGGCGTATAATGCGTCTTTTTGTATGAAATAAAAAAGGGTTTCGATAGTGTGAAAGACAGCTGATAACTGAATCTAAACTTGGTAACAGTTTATCAACAAGCAAAACCTGAACCAAGAGCAAACAATATGGAGACTGATATGTCTTGGTTTCGAATCTCGCGAGGAGGGATCGTGGATAAGCACAGCTGCAGAGTCCCACAGTTGGGCGAAACGGCCGTCCAGTACTTCCAGATCTTCCATGGTGCTCTAGCTTCAACTGACTCATGATCTCATTCATTAAAATATGGAAACCGTTGCGTTTAAACAAATGAACGAAATTGTGGATAACTGCTACAGTGATTGAGATAAAGTAACTATAATAATGAGTACAATAAATGTTATAAGTAAATATAAATATTTCAGAATATTATATGATAAACGTGCGTTACAACATAAGTTTAAAAATTGCCGGGAACACAACTATTTACTGAATGTAAATAAGTAGTATAAAATAATATGCAAAAGAGTAGAAGAGAAGTGAGTAGGAATAGAATGTACAACAGACTTAACAGTAGGTAAATCAATCAAAAAGATAAAACAAGTTAATGGGATCAAATTCAAATGAAACACGATCAAAACATTTTAGAGTTGAGATCACTATTGCGTAATCAGTTAATGGTAAATACAAGTCGATGGTGATAGTTTTACAATTCTCTGTCATTCAGTGTACACATTTCAAGGTGATTAAACTAAGCCAGTTGACAATACCTATCTTTTGTATATTGTTTTCCATTGTCTTGAGAAACAAATGTATCTGTTGTATACACAGGCCACTTTATGAACACTTTTACAATTTGATTATAGGTTATGGGAAGTAATGCAAATAAATTAAGTATGTTTCAGAAATAGGGGAATCATCGAAACCATAAGGGATTTAAATGTAACACGCGTTGATCCAGTCAAACTAAGAAAAGAAGGAGAAGTTGTGACCAAAACTCTGCATGATGTCTATTCAACGTTTTCTGAGTGTTTGACAACCACCACACTTGCTTGCTATTCATTTCAAATTAGATCTAATCGTTAAATACATCTCTCTGACCTTTATTCTCAGGTTCTCATTTAACATTCCTTGGCAAGGAATCAATTGGTAGTGTAACAGTATTTAATTAATCCATGGATATTTTGAATTAATTTGTCTGTGGAGTAAGGTTATGTAATTCCCAGTTATATAGATGAGTAGGCCATCGCTGTTGAACACTGCAAGTTATCAGAAGAGTATTTGCCAACGACAAACTAGTTGGGTTTAAACTTCTGGCTGGCAACATCTTAAAGTCATCATTATCCCACTAAGGAGGAAGTGATCTGTGGTTTTAAATTATACCCCAAAATCAATAGCTCTGTAAGTCTTCGGCGTTTGATGCTGACTACATTAGTTTTAATGAACTCGCCTGGCTGAAGGCGCTCGGTCATTCATCCGCACCAGATCGTGATTGGGAACGCCATGCTCAACTTCCCCTTCAACCATTAGCCAGTTTAGACCAGACAGTTATCAATATATCGACAGCTTATCAAATACATCTTTGAGCCTCCTCGCTTCTGACTCGATTTCAGTGTTCGCGTACAACTCATTTACAGAAGGTGTTACTGGTTAAAGTGCTATCAAAGTACAAATACCTGTAGTATCTTCAGACTAAAACAACTAACTTGTTTACTTAACAGCTTTACCATCTACTTTCGACCAGTTTTAAGCTTATAAAGGCCTGATTTATTTTTAAACAACCTACCTCACAACGTAAAATGTGGTCATTTGTATAAGGATATTTTATTTGATTATAGTGATCTCGCTTAGATTTATATGTGAGTAACTAATCGCAAAGATTGTAATTTCCGGAGAATAGGTCTCTTCGTTGTATCAATTTTTTTACTTTTTTCAATCAATACAAATGTATTTGATGTATCAAGTACGACAGAATGTAATTATTAACAGGCAATATAAGAAATGCGAACTAAGTAACTTCCAACTACAACCGAACGAAAACCTAAGGCTTTAATAAATGAATCAAGTTTATCTTATTAGTACAAACGTGGTTAGGGAGAGATGATTATTTTTCTACCTTCTCCCAAATGCCTTGATACGGCCAAGAGTGGGGAAGGTCGGTACTCCCTCTTCAATTACTTTCACGTGGCCACGTGCATACAGCCACTGCCAAGAAAATCCAACTCACTGCCTCTCGTGGCATTACTGTTGTTTAAGAAATTGAGAGGACGAAAATTGAATGTCTGGCGCCCTGACAGCGTTAGTGTATATAGAGGATCCCTTTGGAGGAGTTGAAAAGCGCTCATTCCAAACCAATGGTACAAGATCCTGAGGGAGTAAATGACGTATGAACCTATTTTTGGTGAACCGAAAAACTCAAGCCACAAACCGAATACAGAGAAGCAAACAAGCAAGTGAAGAAGAACATTGAAGCTGACAAGCAGAAACACGTGGAAGAACGACAACGGAAGAAGCGACAAGAGAGGGAAATATGAAACAACGAAGAAACCGGCAGGAAGATTTAGTAATGAAGATAGAAAAGGTATTCAGTGTTTGACGCTTTTACCAGCAACACCTTCTAATATTATGTGTATCCACCGAGAGAAATCAAAAGACAGAGTCGAGGAGATCGGAAGAATGTATTTGGCGATTACCAATATATCGGAATTCTCTGATCTAATCTGGCTAGCGATTGCGGTTGATGTTGAGCACGGCGTTACCACACGTGATCTGGTGAGGATGCATGACCGAGCGCCTTCAGCTAGATGAGTCCACTAAAACATATGGTCAGCATCCAATGTCGAAAGCTTACAGAGTTATTTATTTTGG